CTTTCTGACTGCAGCAACTATATTGCTCAAGCCAGTCAGTGGGGCTGTTTTCCATGATGTATAAGGGATACAATCAAAAGCCTGGGGCTTTAATTACACACAGTCTATCTTGAGTATCATAAGCAACCAACCACTAATTATTTCAAGTGCTGGTGCACTTTGCTCCTGCTTATATGGTAATATAAAGACCCGACAGATGAAAACACACCAAGAGCTAGACCCAGTGATGAGGGAATGAATGGAGAGAGCTTTCAACCCCAATCCCTGGGCGTGAATTACGTAACAATATAGTAAAATATTCATGGAGCACCATGGGGATGGAATCCTGGCTGCTCTGAAGTGCTGAGCAAACACTACACCCTCAGCCACTCCTCCACTAAGGAGGATAAGGAAAAACCCATAAGCAACGAGCTGAGAAACAATTGCAGTGATCAAGATTGCAAGCAGCACTGGTTCCAATATGTTGAGTCTGCATTCTTTCATTTGTGTGCCCTGTCAATCAAATTATTAGGAGAACGCAATGAAATAACTTGAGTTACACATAAAGCCGAAAGTAGCTTCTGAAATGATCACTCATACACCAATGTACACGCTGTACTGGAGGTCAAAGGGACTCATCAGCATCATCATTCAGCTTCAGCCCAACATCTCAGGTGAACATAAAAGACATAAGCTGAAAGAAGCTACACCGAGTGTTTGTCAGCAGAAATGGTGATGTGGAACCTTCCTTACCACACAAAGGAGCCCCACTTGTGTTTTTATGTGACGTTAATGATGGAGAAAAACAGTCTGAATGTGACGAGCAGTGCTGTGCGAAAGTAATACGTTAGCTTTACTTACCAGTAGTCTATATCCTTAAAGGAAGAAAGAGAGTGGCTTCCGATGGACCTCAATAACTTTTACACCCTGATTTTCAACAGTTTAAAATGCAAATAGTATTTGTTCGAAAAAGCTATGATGAAAGTTTATAGTTGCAGGTTTTTAATAGAACAACCAGCCTATGGCATACATACATGTTGTTACATGTTACATACATACTGTTTCTGCACCTGTTTTTAACTACAATCCCACAAACTGATTTGTCCACATCTGCCTTAATTAATTATTGCCTGCATGTCCCACACAATGCCTTTGAACAACTTTCAGGCAATGAGATTATTTTTTAGGGGTTTTCTTTTCCACTGACACTATGAGAACATGAAAACCAGTGTTTCTTAAATTGCTCTACTTTGCCTTAAAGCATGGTAGGGGCTCTAAACATTATGGATTCTTTTTTCTTTTCTTTTTTTTAGCTACAGTAGTAGTACCTTGGAGCAAGGTACACCTGTATTATTTACGCAGACAAATACGCTAAAATTCAGATCAACTGTTTTATTATACTATAACTTGCTATATTTAGCTAAACATCAGTTAACAGAGGAATCAAGTAATATACTGCAGGGGAGTATTAAAGAGGATGGTGGATATGATGGAGCGAACCTAAGCAAAATAGGAACATCCTGCTAAAATCATTTAAGTATTAAACACAAACATTGAATCCTAAATAAATAAATAAATAAAAAAAATAAATATA